GTATGAGTGTGTGTGTGTGTGTGTGTGTGGTGCAACACTTTTTATACTCATCCCCTCCTCACCGTAGCACACCATCAATAGTCTACCCCCCCCCCCACCCCTCCATCTTCCCTTGTTTATGTACGATCCTACGATCCTGTTGATGTGATTTGATATTGAATATTATCTGTGACGTAGGTTTGGGTCATCATAAACATGTTGCAGAAAAATAATCTTCTTATTGCATGGTAATAAAAGTGGGGGGGGGGGGGGGGGTAGTGTTCAGTGGGTGTGTTTAGTGGGGAGGGGTTAAATAACAGTTTATGTATTCTAATAGGGGGTGGTGTGAGGTGGATGTGTTCTGGTCGGGAGGGGTGAGATAACTGTACATAAATTCTAATTGGGGGTTGTGTACCGAGGATGATTTCTAGTAGGGGGGTGGTGTACAGTGTGTGTGGGTGGTGTAGTGGGGTTCGACTAGTGAGTATTTCATAGGGTTCTGATATGTTAAAGAATTGAATTATTTTAAAGTGTAAATTTTATGGTTCTTATTTAAAAGGGATCTAAGATTGTTTTATATTTTAAAGGGTTCTGAGATTTAAGGTTTCTGATGTTTTAAAGAGTTCTGATGTTTTAAAGAGGTTTGATGTTTTAGAGTTCTGATGTTTTAGAGAGTTCTAATGTTTTAAAGAGTTCTGATATTTTAGAGTTCTGATGTTTTAAAGAGTTCTGATATTTTAGAGTTCTGATGTTTTAGAGAGTTCTAATGTTTTAAAGAGTTCTGATGTTTTAGAGAGTTCTAATGTTTTAAAGAGTTCTGATATTTTAGAGTTCTGATGTTTTAAAGAGTTCTGATATTTTAGAGTTCTGATGTTTTAGAGAGTTATAATGTTTTAAAGAGTTCTGATGTTTTAGAGAGTTCTAATGTTTTAGGGTTCTGATGTTTTAGGGTTCTGATGTTTTAGGGTTCTGATGTTTTAGGGTTTTGATGTTTTAGGGTTCTGATGTTTTAGGGTTCTGATGTTTTAGGGGTCTGATGTTTTAGGGTTTTGATGTTTTAGGGTTCTGATGTTTTAGGGTTCTGATGTTTTAGGGTTCTGATGTTTTAGGGTTCTGATGTTTTAGGGTTCTGATGTTTTAGGGTTCTGATGTTTTAGGGGTCTGATGTTTTAGGGTTTTGATGTTTTAGGGTTCTGATGTTTTAGGGTTCTGATGTTTTAGGGTTCTGATGTTTTAGGGTTCTGGTGTTTTAGGGTTCTGATGTTTTAGGGTTTGGATGTTTCCCATGACGTTCGCGCCCAACGAGCGGCGGCCATGTTGATACTCTAGCCAGCAGACGGTGTGATTTCACGGTCCAGTGACTCCAGCTATCCTAGACACACACACACACGCACACACACACATATTATTTATGGTTAAACGGCTGGTTGGGGTAGGGGGTGGTTCGCCGGGTAGTGGGGGCGGTGAAGAGTTAATTGGAAATTATTTCTGTCATGTCTGTCAGTGGTTGTACGCTGTGACAGTCTTTTAGAGTTGGATTCAAATTTTTTCGGATAAAAAAAAAAACGGTGTGTGTGCTGGTAACACAATATGTGTTGGGGAGGTGGGGGGGGGGGGGTGTAGGTTGTAGTGTGGGGGAGGGTGGTTGGAGAATTGGGTGTAGGAAATTGTGGGAGGTTTGTTTTTACAGTTTGATAAACTATGTTTGTAGGATATTATGTGACATTATATTGTAGGACATTTGGTAGTAGGACAAATGCATTTTTTTTTACATTTGTAAGCTATTCAATTAAATAATATTATGGGGCGTTTAGGACGGTGTTGTATATAATCGAAATATACAGTGTTTCTTTCAGACTTTTTTTCTCTTTGGGGGAGGGTGGGGGGGGGGGGGTGGACTTAAAATATCCAAGGGGTGGTCGGGGGGGGGGGGGGACACTGGTAAAAGCATATATTTTCTGTATAAATTCTATTGCTTTCTTTGGAGATGTAGGACAATGAGGCTGAAGAATGTGGGCACACAACAACTACATATTTTGTAGATAAGAGAGTTGATATCTACATATTGTGTGTTATAAATATTACTATAGGTATACAACCTACATACATATATCTAAAATGTTTTCATTTAATTAATCGTAAGTTGATTTGCTCTTTCTGAATATTAAATGCTTACAAGTACAAGTATTATGCAAATACACATTTGGACTTTCTTTTTTTTTTCCAGAGACTTTTTCTCCTACAATCCAGATAACAGACAACAGATACAGATATCAGATACAAAAAAGAGACTAGAAATTAACAAATACAGTCGGATGTTTATGTTAATATTTCGAGCCTTGGTCAAGTCTAGTGTGCTAGACTTAAATCTATTGACGAACCATCACTAGGATAGACTTAAATCTATTGATGAACCATCACGAACTCTAGTCAGTTAGACTTAAGTCTATTGACGAACCATCACTAGGATAGACTTACATCTATTGATGAACCATCACGAACTCTAGTCAGTTAGACTTAAGTCTATTGATGAACCATCACTAGGATAGACTTAAATCTATTGATAAACCATCCCAAAGTTTAAGTTTTTAAAATAACGTTAAACTGTCTAGACGGAATTTATTAAAGAGCGGATTACTCAAATATTATTTCCAGTCCAATACAAACATAACAAGAAAGTTAAGAGAAAATAAAACTGTAATAAAAATATTTGTTACGCTTTCGTGATTTCAGAAAAACATATCGCGAAATAAAATATTGATTTTGTATGAGCTGGAGTATCGATTACATCATGCAAGTGTGTATGGGATACATAAGGTCAATCCAAAGTTGTCTGGTGCGTAGCGATTAAATTTAAAAATACATTGTGTTTTTTGTTCCGTTTTGTAACCTCTGCTCAAACGCGGAAGTAAAAATAGGACAGAAGCAAAACAAAACTTTGCACACATACTGGAGGAGTGAAGTCTAGTTCAGTCATAGCTTATTCATCAATCATCATTTTGATTCATTAATCATTATGTTAATTTATCAATCGCCGTATTGATTCATCAAACAGGAGAATTTATCAATCATGTTGATTCATCAATCATCATGTTGATTTGATTAATCAATCATCATTTTGATTAATTAATCATTGTTAATTTATCAATCGCCGTATTGATTCATCAAACAGGTGAATTTATCAATCATCAATGTTGATTCATCAATCATCATGTTGATTAATCAATCGTCGTTTTGATTTATTAATCATCATGTTGATTCATCAGTCATGTTGATTAGTATCACTAGATTTCATCAAAATGGTAAAGACTAGTAATTGTTTATTGGATAATGAATTTTGTCAAAACAAAAACTCATTTTTTTTTCTACGTATCGTTAATAAGTATTGTTCATTTTATAAAATATTTTGATGCTACAGTTAACTACAGTATTTTACCTCCATTAATATTTGATTACAGTCATTAAATTTCCTATTTACTTCATTAATATTTGATTACAGTAATTAACCTTCCTGTTTACTTCATTAATATTTGATTACTTTCATTAAACTTCCTGTTTACTTCATTAATATTTGATTACAATATTTAACCTTCCTGTATACTTCATTAATATTTGATTACAGTCATTAAACTTGCCTGTTTACCTTATTTATGGTAGTGGCTTACCTTCCTGTTTGGTTTTGTGATGGTAGCGCTACCCTTCCTGTTTGGTTTGTGATGGTAGCGCTACCCATCCTGTTTGGTTTGTGATGGTAGCGCTACCCGTCCTGTTTGGTTTGCGATGGTAGCGCTACCCGTCCTGTTTGGTTTGTGATGGTAGCGCTACCCATCCTGTTTGGTTTGTGATGGTAGCGCTACCCATCCTGTTTGGTTTGTGATGGTAGCGCTACCCATCCTGTTTGGTTTGTGATGGTAGCGCTACCCATCCTGTTTGGTTTGTGATGGTAGCGCTACCCGTCCTGTTTCAAGTATGTGGTTCAGCTTTATGGTTTTAATAACATTATTATTGTTGTTATTGTTATTGTTATTAATACCCGTGACAAATAAAACAGAAACGGTGATGTTTTCAAACAATTCATTTTATTTGACAAATAAAACTGATTTACAAAAAAATATTTTCAACCCCAAAAAAATTTAACTTAAAGCTTATGTACAGGAATGTTTTGATAATTGTACATGATTTTTTTTTGTTTACATGAGAAAGTGTTGATAATTTTACATGATTTTTTTATACGAGAAAGTGTTAATAATTGTACAATTGATTTTTCAATGCTTACAGGAATGTAATGATGATTTTACATGACTTTGGTGTTTATAAAAAAAATACATTTTCATGCTTACATGAATGTGTTGATAAAATTACATAATTTTCAACACGCTTACATGAATCGTGTTGATAGATACAGATGGTTTTTCTTTTTACTAATAACTAAGCAATGAATAAACAGTGTTCGATACAGTCCAACGAGTTATACACTTATGACTCTATTCTGCTCTATAAAAGTAGACATAGGTAACAAGACGATACAACTCAATATATTTTGTCGTCGTACGTTTTGTTGGAAAATACGATCAAATGAAAGATTTCGACTGAAGGTATTGACCATTGTGGTCTGGATTTGAGTCTATGGCATTGCGGCGAAATATGACGCTAAGCTGCTGATATTAGTGATAGCAGAGGCGTAACGACCCTTCCCGGCGCCCGGGGACAAACGTTCAACTTGGCGCCCCCCCCCCCCCCCTCGGGAGCAAATTTTCAACTTGTACCCCCCCTGAAACTTTCGATTTGCCCCCCCCCCCCCCCCCCCTCAAACTTTTGATTTGCACCTCCCCCCCCCCTCAAACTTTTTATAATCAAAAATGCAGCTAAAATGATCCTTTAATCTTTTTACAACCCATTTTGGCACCCCCTAAGGTCGGCGCCCGGGGACATATGTACCCCCCCCCCCCCTGCCCCCCCCCCCCCCATCGCTACGCCTCTGTGTGATAGCGTAGATTTCAAGAAAAGAATATCTACATTTTTAGTTTTTGAATGAACAATTGTGATAAAGCTTATATCTCTTTAGCATCACCTCCTATTTTGAAAAGTCATGTTCGTGTGATGTGGGTTTGTGTAAAATCTTAACACAAAGTTTTTTTTTTAAATATCGTATTACTACAGACAAAAGGATACATTTTAAACGTTGTGTTGATCTCAATTCAATAAAGAAATTTGAATAACAATTGTTTTTTTTTTTCTGCTTTAAAGATAAACAAGTTTTATCTGTTTGTTTACAGACATGAATTATGAAGAGTTATAAATATGGACATGCTTTACTGAAGAAAATTGATAATAGCAATCACACATAAAACATATTCACTCTGCTTTACCTACCCTATCTAAGATTTTATCAGGTAGTTGTGTTTAATATACTACAAATAGCCTCACGTGAGTACATTAATGTAGAGACGCAGAAGTCAGTTGCCAGGGAAACCGAGACTAGCTTAAAACTGGTGGCATCAAACGGACTGGACTCTTTAAGGTGGAGTTGGAATATTTTCAAAATATTTTCTTAGAGTCGTTAAAACATACGCGGACGAATGTATAGAACTAAATGTGTGACTCTGTTGCTTTCCTTTTTTAGGTGCGAAACTTTGTTGTTTATCTTTATTTATCATTGTCAAACATTCACACAAAATTTTTTTTTTAGTTACAGTTCATGTACATTCAAGTATTGATTTTAAAAAAATACAATTAGTACTTCAACAGCTACAAGTTGGGAAGGAAACAAACCAGATGCTTCTAGAGTATATAGAAATATCATCATCTTTTTGTGCACAAAACACATGGAGTCACGTACAAATATGAAGACTCAAAATAAAAATATAAAGTTCTATGCATGTACACATTTTAATACATATATTTGTAACATATTAAATCGGAAATAGTTTTACGATTTAGCTTAATTTTAGTTTTGTTTTCAAATCTAAGGCAAACCTGGACAAAACACAATTTCGTCCATGTCTATAAAATTGATTGCGTCACTATAAACTATAAACCAACCCGAAAGACGCAATACTTCATACAAGACAAAACAAAGCCTGCCAAGAATTGTCAAATATCACATGGCATAAATAGTGTAGGCTACATAAAACATATCTAATGGTCTATATTGTAACTATACAAACTCTATGACTATAAGACTATTCGTTTACTATAAAACATACCACACACAAAAGTAATCAATGCAATTAATCAAATTTTTTAAAAATAAAAATTATAAAGTTTAAATAAAATATTTGGTCAATTTTATCATTTATAAAGTATATTAATATAAACATCATTCTGACTTAAAAGAATTGTTCAGTTCAGCGTCATTTTAACACCTTTGTCAACGAACTTTGTGTGTGTGTGTGTGTGTGTGTGTGTGTGTGTGTGTGTGTGTGTGCCATTGGCTGTTTATTGTAGCGGAAGTGAGGTATCAGTGTCGTCTGCCGACAGCTGTCTCAGTTTTCCTTTGTCGAGAGTTCAGTCCCTTGTTTACAGCATTCTCCTGTCAATGGGTTTAAGTTGTGTTGGGTGGGGAAATTCTTTTTTTGCCCGTGGAATGAACAACAGCAGTAGACTTTTTTTGTTGCGCTATTTATTACGCAAATTAAACTTTGCATGAACGTACACAAAATGTTTTGAATCAGACAGTTGGGCATTGTTGCCAATGTTATGTTGTGTGCATGCTATTCTACTGCATGATGTACTATTGAGATTGTGACAATGACCTCAGGATCAACTGACATGCGCAGTCGGACACGCTGAAACGTCAAGGGCTCTTCTATGGAGTTCATTTCTATGAAAGACCGTTTTGTCAATAACGAATTTTTTTTTCTCCGCGCGCGTGCGCCTAATCGCTGTGGACGTTGATTTCGACATCGGTGTCGTCGTCGTCGTCGTAGTCGGAGCACACGGACAGCTCGTCGCTGCTCGCGTCGTCGTGACTCACGGCCTCGCTGCCGTTCGACTTGACGTCGTCTTGGTAGTGGCGCGTGTCGTCGTCATGGTAACGGGTCTCGTCCTCGCCGTCCTTGCCGTCCTCCTGACGGGAGTGGACCTTCCGGTGACGCTCCAGGTTGCTTTTGTGTGACGTGGCGTAGTCGCAGACGTTGCAGACGAAATCTTTCTGCCCGTTGTGGACGGAAAGGTGACGTTTCAGCAGAGCTTTGCGGCAGAATCGGCGTCCGCAGAAGCAGCAGGTGTAGCCGTGGTAGTGGTAGATGAGGGCGTGCTCGCGCAGGGAGGCTTTGGTGTTGAAGAGGACGCCGCAGCACTCGAGCATCTTAGAGCTGGTCTGGTGCATGGTCAGCATGTGGCGCTTCAGGTTGTTCCGCCGGTCAGTCGTGTAACGGCATTGGGGGCACGGAAACAACTTCCGGCCGTAGTGGTGGTTGGGGTGGCCGTCCATGGCAGGGGAGAGAATTTGACTAGAGTTGACGCGTTCGATTAACGCCCTTGACTGGGCGATGGCCAAAGCGTTTTGCAAGGTCGGCGCGCGTTCAGGGATTGGGGCTTGTTGGTTTTGTTGGGGCTGGGGTCGTTGTTGCTGTTGTTGATGATGATGTTGGAGGTGGTTTGGGTGGTGACGTGGTGGGTGCGGGGCTTGTGATGGACTAGATGATAACCGCTCCATGACGGCTTTGGCGTGAGCAATCGCCAGCGCGTTCTGCAATGATATCTGTCTCTCTGATAGTGAAATAAACGGGTGGGGGTGGGGCGATGGCGTCAGTTGAGATGGGTGGGGCGGCAGACCCCCGGGGTTGGCGAACAGCGTGGAGAAAAACACTTCCTTCGACGCCAAGATGCTGAGCTGGTTCTCCATGTTTCCGGGGAGTTGTCGGTGCAGGTGCTCAAACATGGATGACCCCATCAGGTGGGGATCCTTTGAGGTGAGCATCATGGGGTCTTTCAATCCCCCAACGGTGGTCAGCGGTGGCATGGGCGACCCCATCAATCGGGGTTCCTTTGACACTAACGCCATGGGATCCTTCAACCCCCCAACTGTGGTCAGCGGCGGCATTGGGGGCGGCGTGACTTTGATGGGCGGGGCGCTGGTGGTGGGCGTGGTTACCTCAGTGGGCTTGGACGTGGGCGTGGCTCTCTTCTTGCTGTGGGTCTCGGGATCCGAGACGTCCCGGCCGGTCCTGGAGGACGGGCTCAGGTCGAGGGCAGGGTTCCACAGGGCAGGACGAGGCTTGACCGTTTTTTCGCTGGGAATGTTTGCCGGTATGCGGAAGTCTAATCCAGCCGGTCTCGGAAGGTGGATTGGTATTGGCCTGAAGAGAAAAAATTTGACTGATGTATAACATGGTGCCAAAAAAAAATTTAAAACATTTCAATTTTTTGTCTAATAGGCCTATTTATTTTAACTAATTGTTTTATAAAATAACTTCCTTTTTGCACTAAATCCAATCGTAGGTTGGTGTTAGTAAGCGGAAATGACATTTCTATTAATTTTAGGTTATAACAAAATAACTTGATTTGAAAATTATCTATATATATAATTCTCCTCTTCGAGCCGTTAGAAAACAAGCTGCAAACGCTCTCCCTACCTCCCCACCCCTACATGGTTTTAGTGAGCTGTGTTCACTCTAAATGTTTACAAACATTACAAACACAGCCGGGTTTAGTGACGACTATTAGGGGCAGATAATTTAGTTTGAAACGATTTTAAACGTAGGGGGGGGGGGGGGGGGGGGGGGGTAACTAAGTGGAGTTTACTTTAACGGAGGGGGGGGGGTGAAGGCGGGGAAGGGGTTATCGTCCTTAACGAGCTACTTATAGTGTTTTAAAGAAATATTTTCAGTGGCAGCGTTGGTAGTGTTGAATTCACAAATTATGAATAACTGAAAACAGAGTTTCTTCCAGGCATCTCTTCGGGGGGGCGAAGCCCCCCCGAAAAATTTTTACCGCCCCCCCCCGAACGAAATGAAATTTATATAATTTATATAGAAAATATATACTTTTAACAGTGTCCGCCCCCCCGAAGAAAGTTTACCGCCCCCCCGAAGATTTCAAGTGCCCCCCCGGAGAAAAAAGTCTGGAAGAAACACTGACTGAAAAGGAGAAAAAAACAACTAAATAGCGGCGTATGATATGCCGCGGGTCGGCTCGTAGTATTTAATCCTGCACTTCCAAAACTGGACTATTTAAAATTTTATTTTAATATTGTTTTATTTCAACTTTTAACTTCACACAGAAACAAATATTGAGTGAATTGTTCTAAAGTTAAAAACGGCGACTCAAAAAAAAAATAATTACAAAAAATTAACAAAACATTCACATTTCAATTCCAAACGCGCTGAAAAAAAAATTGAAAATGACCACAATAGAACATCATACTTTTATGTCTATTTTTTTTAAAATAAATCTGTTTACATATTAATGTAGCAATTATTTGAAATGTATGTATTAAATTGATTTGATGAGGGAGATTAAAAATGTATGATGCACCATTAAATGTCTAAAACCAAGTTTCGACAAAAACTAATATTACCAGAAAATGGCATTTATTTTTATATTTAGAACGGACCCATTACCTTAATCGCAGCATCCAATTATCTACTGCGTTATCTAACTAAATGCAACCTTTAAACACCTACAGCCGAGATATATTAATTGTAATCACATTTCTCCGTGCAGCATAGGATGACGGATTGATTTCACAGTGCTGCATCGGATGACGGATTGCTGTGGCGGTTGTGTTTGATAGGGTGCACCAACACGGGGGCGCTGCCGCTAGGGGCGGCGCCCCATACGCCATGAAATATTCAACCCCTCACCACCATTACGATGTGCTAAAACGCTTTCAGCTATTTCTCGCATCACTAGTCGCGGTTATGTTTTTCCCCCCGGCTTGTCGAATCTTGCTCGCGATATATCCATCAGGGAATTGGACATGGGTTTAATCCACGAGCTCTGTGGCGAGGGACGGGAATTGTGAGGGGGGGAATTGTCATTTTTTGGAGTTCATTTTGCAGTTATCTAAGGCTTTTATTTGAGTTAGGATGTTAGGGAGTAAATTAGAGGTGGGATGTGAGGAGGGGAGTTGATGTGTGTGAGTGTGGGGGTGGGGGAGGGGGGGGGGGTGATGTGATATAATGGGTTCAACAACCAGCACGCTCTCCAGCGATCAGCATCTAAATAATTTATTTACCAGAGCATTTCACAGTTTGGATGAGGCAAAACAAAGAGACTCTAGCGATGATGCGTGTGGGTTAATATCGTACGGGAGTCGGTGGCGGATCAAAGCGAAGGCTGGCTGGGCAACAGCTGGGGGGCCTCCGAATTTTTATAATATTGATATTAGAAGGTCTTTGTAATATAATGGTAAAAAAAAGCCAAGGATAATTATCATCCAGGGGCCCGGGATAAATACCGTCCAGTGGTGCAGAATGCAGATACAATCTCATCTAGGGGCCCTGAGTAAATATAATTTAGGGGGCCCACGATACACATCATTTATGGTCACCAAGGTAAATATAGGAAATAGCTTAAGATAATAACCCCTAATGACAACGCTTGTTTCACAGATATGATAACTTTAACATTGATATTTTCGTAAACAAGAATTATGAGTTTACACTTAACAATGTTTCGTTTACTTAACGCAAGAATTATTTTGTTTACCTTACTTGCTGGTGATACTATAAATAAATAAAACACCCCCTTTGATGGTGTGAAAAGAAAAATGGATGTAGATCTAACATAATGAAGTTTACATTAGGTGTCATTAGGAAAAATTTAATTCTTGTTCTAGGTTGGAAAAGTAATTTATTGTTTTATATCGAAAAGTTAACTTATTGTTTTAAATTGAATAAAAATATTTATGATTTGTTTGATAAAATATTTTGTTTTATATTTTATACACGAGAGCAATTTTTTTTTTTAAATTGAAAATTATGCCATTAAATGTCTGTTCATATTTAATTAATAAAAGAGCTGTTGATATTTTATGTGAATTATGGGTTACGTAGCATGGTGTCTCATTGTGACATCACTTTGTAAAAAAAATTGAAATTTAAATGTATTCTTGTATTTGATGTCTGCTACAGTTTACAGTGGGCTCGAATTTAGAAGTGATTACAGTCATTTTGTGATTAATTATACATGTATTTTTTAAAAATAAGCGTTTAAAGTAGGTCTACAACAAAACACATAACTCTGGCATAAGTGTTTGCAGTTTATGTGGTCATGGTGTTGTTAGGTGATGCCCAAAACATAGTTGTAATGGCGGCCAAAGTTAATCACCCCAAAATAAATGGTGACCGGTGACTTAGGTACAACAGTTATTGGAAGTGGTGACTAGTTACCTGTAACTTAGGTAAGGTACGTCTTTGGAAGTGGTGACCGGTGACTTAGGTACAACAGTTATTGGAAGTGGTGACTAGTTACCTGTAACAGGTAAGGTAACTATTGGAAGTGGTGACCGGTGACTTAGGGAAGGTACGACAATAGGAAGTGGTGACATAGGGACAACAAGGGAAAATGGTGACCAGCTATTTAGGGACAATTGGAAGTACTGAACAGTGACTTAGGGACAATTGGAAGTACTGACCAGTTATTTAGGGACAATTGGAAGTACTGACCAGTTATTTAGAGACAATTGAAAATGGTGACCAGTGACTTAGGGACAATTGGAGAAGCTGATGTAGGGACAATTGCAAGTACTGACCAGTCATTTAGGGACACTTGGAGAAGCTGATGTAGGGACAATTGGAGAAGCTGATGAAGGGACAATTGGATAAGCTGATGTAGGGACAATTGGAAGTACTGACCAATGACGTAGTGACGGCAGTAAGTGGTCGCCACTGACACCGGGGTCAACAGAAATCTAATTCAGTTAATTTGGGGCCCCTCGAGAAAAGGGGCCGAGCCACGAAATAGGTGGACCGCGACGGGTCGGTGTCAGGGCGAGATTAACGACCGTGTCACGCTGACAACGAGGCTCCTTTGTTGGCCTGATGCCCTAATCCTATTATCCCAATGATAGGGAGGAGGGTTTTAGATAGGGTGGGGGGGGGGAGGTTTAGGTGGAATTAAAACTAAGCGATTGGTTTGTTTAAGGGCCGGTGGGAGAGATCATTGTAGGGAGCAGATTGTGTGTGTTGGGGGGTTTTTTTTAGAATTTTTTTTAGATCGTGACCGTTACATAGACCCTAGACACCCTAAACAATCTTTCTTACAAAATAGCCCCCCCCCCCCTTGCCCTGCACCAAATAGTAGCCATACTATCTTGGAGACGATCCGAAAAAAAAAAAACAACCTGTGATCATTTTATTTTCACCAACAAGCACTAGCCCAGAACTGAACAGTTACTTTAAGCCTTCAACGTGTCGCATGAGTATTTTCGTATGTAGATCCGTATGTGTGTGTGTGCTGGGAGGCGGGGGGGGGGGTGTGGTAAAAACACCAGATGCTACTACCGTGCCTTTTTATCGACATTTGAATGTACCTAATGATGCAGACTTGTAACTCTTTTGTACGTGTACATCTTGTGTACACGTCGTACTTAAGGATGTACGTGTAACGATTGTGTAAATGTATAGTGTAAGGATGTACAAGAAGCGTATATGTACAATAAATAAAGTGAAAGTGTACGTGTATCGTATGTTTACAATTATAATGTAATGATGAATGTATATCTATACCTATAATTTGGCCTATATTTAGTTTATGACCTTAATTTAATGAGTAGTTTCCGTACAGTTCGACGCATTATTTTTTCTAGATTTCAAGAAGTAGTTTTCATGTTTGGAATTGATTTGTTTAGATTTGTCGACACAATTTTCACACATAGATCTAACATTTAGAAACAATGTCTGACAATTTATTCAATTAAAAATAAATCACATATGCACGCCTCTATTGTTCATTCTCGCTTTTGTGTACACCTATTTTGTGTACACCTATTTTGTGTACACCTATTTTGTGTACACCTATTTTGTGTACACCTCTATTGTGTGTACACCTTTTTTGTCTGTACACCTATTTTGTGTGTACACCTATTTTGTGTGTACACTTCTGCGTCACGCGTCAGCACATCAGACGCAACGTTCCGCGTCAGGAGCCGACGGCCGTCCAAAAGTGGACGGCCGTCCAAAAGTGGACGGCCAGCGGCCACAAAGGCCGGCATTTGTCAGGACGGGTGGGCGGGTGACTCGCAGCATGAATACATTGCGACCCCCCCCCCCCCCTCGCAACCCCTGAAACTGACCCGTCATTGACCAGGCTAATTAACTGTTTGACAATTTTGATTAATCACCCAAGACGCTAG